ACCCGCGCAACATCCCTAGACGTCACGTGTGTACTAATAACACGCTCGCCAGAGCCCATGCGGGTGTTTGGGGGTATTTTCATTTGTAGCTTGAACCTTGTCGACTCTGTCTGGCTGTCAACAGAGGATCATGTTTCGTAGGCTTTATGCCTTTGTTAGTGAATTCTATTGATTTTAGGCTTTGAATGTCTAATATGAATGCATTAAAATAAATACACCGGTCGCCACAACTGTGTATTTGTTTTAAGGTTCGAATCCTGTCAACTCCTATTGATCAGTATAGAAGGATCGGGTTCGAACTTGAATTCACTTATCGACCCGCGCAGCATCCCTAGACATCACGTGTGTATCAATAACACGCTCGTTGGGGGCCATGCGGGTGTTTGTGGGCATTTTATAATTATACCTTGTCGACTCCCTTTTATTTGCTTTGAAGGATCGGGTTCAAATTTGCTAACCCGCGCAGCAACCCTAGACTCCACGTGTGTACCAATAACACGCTCGTCGGGGCCCATGCGGGTGTTTGATTACATTTACCCCTTTTGTGTATATATGTGTATACAAACTACGGTGCACATGCAGGGGTATTTTGCAATATTTTAATTATGCAGGAAGCTGTCATTTGAATGCAACATTCCATTTGGGAGCTCGTAGACGCCTTCTATATGCTTATATAAGTGTTACAGATCCGGTGGCATGGCGTAGCAACTTCTGAATAGAATTATTCGCTGCTTTATACAGGTAGACTGTCGTGCACTAATTGATTTATTCTGCAAGTGGATCATAGTGCACTAACGAATCTCCTGCTTTTGTGTTGTAGGATTTTGCATTCGTTGTACTCTTTGTACATTTCATTGTGATTTTGGTCCTTACAACATATCCACTATTGTTGTAGGTAAATGAATTCATTTGTAGACTGAGGTTGACTACAAGATACTGCATTTACTGAAGTCTTTCTACATCTATCCGTCAGTGGCATATGACACATACATTTGTCTTTGTAGAGAGATTGTATGTGTTGCAGATCTTTAAGTTGTAAGGAATCGGTGCCTTTGACTGATATTAAGTGGTTGCTGACTATCAGACAATTCAACATCTATCACATATTATTTTCCATCACCTTTGGTTAGACTTCTGTATGAAAGAGAGCTCTCGTACATCTGCATGTAAATGCCTTTGTTTATATGTGATGAGTTTTCTACAACAGTACGTAAGAGATTGATACATTTGCTTAACACCTAATTGTTGTTGCTTGTAAGAGTGTCGTGGTGTTTGTTGTATAACATCTATTGCAATTCCTTTGCATTTACTCGTAGGTGCTCATGCCCATAATGGTTTTATAGTTATTGCTTGCATACGAATTATAGGGTATTGCCACATCTATTTTGGCAAGTTATCACTCATCATAGATGATTTATTTTGTACACTTTGCGAGTTACTTGATACTGATAGAAGCCATCATATTCATCATGCCTCCTTGTCTCTTGTGAACAGGTTTCATATGCAAGTTCTTACTTCTTGAGAATAGTTTGCAATTTGCATGATGAACTGTTATCCTATTCATTGATGTCTCTATTCCACAGATATTATTGTTATGAGTTGAATGCTATCATACAAGAAGGAACTTCATATCAAAGTTTGTGGCCAATTCAAACATAAACCACCTCTTGTTTATTTGACTTGTTTGACTTCATCATTCTTAACAATCATTAGGATTTTGATGTCATGACTCAAGCCAATTTCTTTATTGTTGTGCAAGCCCAAAGCCATTGTAGTGCATATCCAAGTTAGAGAGCAAATCCTTTACAATCAAGTTACAAGAATTTGCTTGTACTCAAATCATTCAAATTACTTCTTCTTAATATTCAAATGGAATTCAAGTAATATCTTCTTAGTGTTTAAATTAAGCTCAAGCTTGAGCTCATTTTTGTTTCATTTCACTTAGGTCTAAGTATTCATTTAAAGGACCTGTAGTTCATCTTGGATTCAAGCTCTTGTTCAAATCAAAGTACCTTGCATTCAATCAAGTCTTTGCTTGAGTTAAATTACTCAAGTCAAGTTCAAGTTCCATGTCCACTATAGTCCAACTCAAGTCTTTGCTTGAGTTTAAATGTCCAAGTCATATCCTTGTTCATTTCAATTTGAATATTCAAAAATCCACTGTGGTTCGAAATTGATTCAAGATTGATTTCAGTTCAAATTAAGCCTCTTGCACATTTTTTATTTGAGTTCAATAGCTTATTAAATCACTTAGATTTGTTCAAAAGTCCAAGTACAAGTCTCATTTTTTGTTCATTTGATGTGCAAATCAAGTCCAAGTACGGCTCGTTTTCACCCAAATTTCAGTAGCCTCCCGGCGTCTCCCGGTTTAAGGGAAAACTACGAGAAACTGGGCCTTCCCACCATACACAATAAAGGCATGTATGGTAAGTGTCCTCGGACGAGGACACTGCGGCCGTGAACTTTCCTCCCACCACGCGCAATAAAGGCGTGCTCGAAGGTACTTATGAGTGACCCGACCTCGTCATAGGTGCCGCACCGGGGTCCCATCCCACCACTCGTAATAAATGCGTGTATAAATGGTTTGCCGGTGCGCCACGCACACTGAAGTAGAGTTTAGGTGATTGCCCGCCTTGTCGTAGGCATCAGACCAAGGTCCCATCCCACCACGTGCAATAAAGGCATATATAGGCAGTTTTCCGGTCCACCGCAAACAACGAGGCCAAGAATATGAGTTTTAGAAATATTCGTACCTTTGCAGGGTTGGCGTGTAGATCCGGGCAGGAGAAGACATTTGCACTTTGCTTCTTTTTTTTTAGAATTTAATTATAATTAATTATCAATAATAATTAATTGTAATTAAAGATATTTAATTATAATTTTAAAAAATAATTAATTATGATTAATTAATGATAACTAATTATCATTAATTATAATTAATTATGATTAATTAGAATTAGTGTATAAATTAATTATCTAATTTAACTTAATAAAATAGTTAGTAATATAATTAGTAATTATAAATTAATATAATTATCTTATACATTATTAAACATATAATTAATAATATAAATAATAGTTAAATAATTAATGAGCAGTAGAATTCTTAAGTGATTAATGAGATTATTAATAATAAAAATTATAATTAAAACTAATAAAATAGTAATTAAATTATTAATTAAATAATTAGTAGGAATATTATTCAAATAATTAGTTATTTCAAATAATTAGTTATTTCAAATAATTAGTTAATTCAATTTTAAATCTCCAACCGTTGTAAATCCTTGTTATTTCTTGCCAAACATCTTTCTGGATTTAACAGGATTTAAAAATTATCATATCAAATACAATTCAGGATTTAAGAGTCCAGGATTTACTAAATCCGGATTTACAGGATTTAGTAAATCCTACTAAAATTGAATCCAATCCTATACCAAACACCCCTCGAGCGGGGATTGAGTAGGAATCACGGGATACAACTCAAACGGCGCCGAATCAGCCGAATTTGCGGAGACTTTCGGCGGAGTTCGCGGATCCGCCGGGTAAAAGGTATGCGTGATTTCCATTTTTGGTATTTTACGTTGAGGTTAACAAGAAGTAACAAAGAAATGACTATTCATAAATTATTGCAACATAAATAAAAAGGGATTGACTATCCATTAAATCATTGCAACATAAATAAAAAATAAATAACAAAAAAAAATCTTAAATCAAATTTCACCATGAATAAATTGACTATCCATGCAAATATGAATAAAATTAACAGTGCATGCATTCCACTTAATCCAGATATGACTAGAGGAGCAAAAATTAAATTATTGCAACTATTCTCTGAAATGAATAGTCTATGAGAAACATGAAACTAAGAATCATTAAAAGCACCATGAGAAAGCTTCCAAAATATAAAGTAATCTAGATTATGAGAAGTAACAAAGTTTTTGCACATCAAGATTTTTTCAGGGCTACTAAAACCACGAACATTACAAACAACCAAGTTAGTTTTGAACATTACGCTTTATGTTTATTTTTGGGTTCCTTCTCATAACTCTTTGCACGAGTAGTAATGGTTCCTTGAACAATTGCATTAGGAACCGAGCAGCTAGAACCTCAGAAGATTCATCATCTTTAAGAACATCAAATTTATTAGGAGAATATAACTAGTTAGATTGTCTCATTACTATTGTGACGCCCCATAATCTAATTTAGTAGAATTATTTTTTTATCTTTTAATTTACACAACCAGATTATCTAATTTCTTTTATCAATCTAAATAGCAACAGAAATAAAACTATCGATCTTATGACAAAAACTATTTTAAAATTTGACTTATATTGACTCCTGAAAAATTATTTACCTGGGCCAAAATATGAGTTAATACAACTATAGAAATAGTAATGGAAGGGGGAAGATCACTAGTAGGGAAGTTTAAATTTGGAATAATAGCAGGTATGTTAGTAGAGGAAGAAGCACAATCTTCAAAATTAGAAGAGTTAACCTTGTCAGATTTAAACTCATCATGTTGATCAAAGCTAGAGGAAACAACAGGAACATGAAAGGAAGCCAGGGATCACAATTTAATTCAAAACCAGAATTTTCATCACATAAATATTATTGTACTTAAAGGAAGTTTCAGCATTAGAAATAGGAAGAGCAGCTTCATCTAATGGATTAACATCAACTATATGGACCCCAGAGAGACCAGCCCCCAATAAACCCGATGGGTTAACAATAGGTTTTGGGATGTAATGATTAGGCATTTTAGATTTTGACCTAATCCTAGTTCCTTCAAGCACCCTATTAGTGCTTCTCCCATAATTAGAAACATTACTAAGAACAATAGGATTAGAGTTTGGGTTAGTGTTTTTAGGACAAACGTTAAAGGGATGATCAAAAGAGCCATAATGTTTACAAACTTTTAGTTTCTAGTCATATTGAACATAGAGTTTACATAGTTTACCATCATGTGAGATCAGAATTTCATCAAATAGATTAGATTTCCCATTCACTTGCATACAAACCCTAGCAAAAGTGAGATGGGAGCTCTAAGTCGTTAGTCAGTCAATAGCCAACATGATACCTATATAGCTAGCTATCATAGATATACCTTTAGGGTTCTAACAAGCAGGAGGAAGATCATGAATTTTAACCAAAGTGGAATCGAGGTAATTCTTCACGTTTAGGAATGAAAGAGGGATACCATTTTTGTAAAATGAAAGGTATACCAAATAAAAACTTTGGCCCCCTTGACCAGATAATCTCATAATCTTTGAATTGAGTAAAACGCAATAGGAAAAACCATCCAAAAGAGAAACAAGAGATACTATTTTTAGATGCCAAATTTTTTCATGGCAAAGAGTAAAGCCTCATAGTAAGGGCACTTATTAAGAGAGTAGCTAATAAGAGAAGTTGCCAATGTTTCACAATGTTCTCAGGTTGATCAAAGGAAAAGTTAACAACATTATCATTAGGAGGAAGAAAAGAAACAAGACAAATCTACCGTAGAAGTGTCCCAAGAAGAAAGCTTAATATTCCATTTAAGGGCAACGGTGAGATCATCTGTGATAGGGTTGGTAGTCTTCGACGAATAGGGTCCCGATCGAGACCAAAGGTGAAAAGCCAATGATGGAGAGGAGATCCCTCGCATCCATCTAAGAAAGATGTGGCCTCTGGCAAAGTTGGAGACCAAAGGAGGTGGATGAACAAAATGTGTGGCAGCTAGGGTTTCCAAAGGCCCCAGAGTATTCGAAAGCAAATATTTGGAGGAGTATCTAAGAGATGATTTTAGGGTTTAGAAGTATAGGAGTTAGAAATACATAATATTGCAAACATCTTTGAGATCTAAGATAGACTCCTAAAAGAAAAGTAAAGCAAAAAAATCTATTAAAGTACCAAACCTGTTGCAAAGGGACAATGGAGACATAATAGTGGAACTATCGCATTAACACAATAAGAGAGAGGTATAGTATCCTCAAAGCCTTCATAATATCAACACAATTTAGTATGTGTGAATTTAGCAAATCTGTAGTGGTATTGCACCTGGTTGAATTTCTACTGTTCAAATCTCTCTCCTTTTAAAATGTCGTTGCGAGAAAGTCCAACTCTAGCAATAGATTTTTTTTCCTTCCAGACATGTTAAAATATTAAAGTTTGACTTCTATAATGAAGACAAACTTGGGGATGTTTGGTAGCAAGGAGGATTTCTAACTTCAATTAAGATTTAGTAAATATTATAAATCCAAATTTAATAAGTCCTAGAGGCATTAAATACTAAAAATTATTTGCACGATAGATGTAATTAATTTCATCAAATCTTAGTAAACTATTTGGCATATATAGCAAAGAGAAAAAGAATAAATATCATACTTACTCTAGGTTTATGAAATCCAGCATTTAGCCTATAATAGAATGAAATTGGGATTTGAGAGGAATTAGTGAATTACGCTGTTAAAAGAACTAACTGACAAAATTTAGCTGAAATCCTAGCTTTTTTTGTTAAATATTGCAAGTAAATAGCAACTTGGTGATAGAAATGTTATAAGAATATACCTGAAATAATTCTATTAGAACTTCTTGTATTCATCCATCACTATCACAAACAAAGGCAAAGACTTCTATCATGAAAAACAAAGTACTCTAAGTTCTTCAATCTTTATGATGTAAATTTTTTTCTTCATGGGATTTCTATGTTATGGAGATTATGATAAGCATTATTTGACTTATTTTATTTTATCTTATTATTTTGGCAGAGGATTGGGGCCGAACAACTTTAGTGGAACTCTTCCAGCTAAGCTAGGAGGCCTTTGGAACCTACAACAATGGTTAAATAATCATAACTTTATAATAAAACTACTTTTGTGAGAATGAAATCAAATGTTTTGTGTCTGCACTTTTTGTTAGTGGTAGGGGATATCATATGTTACAATTTTTTTTTCTAAGCTTACATCTGACTTATTGTTAAATTCTCAGGGACATGACTAGTTCTGGATTAAGTGGCGAGCTTCCAACTTCTCTTTCCAATCTTACGGCCATGCAGACATTGTAAGTTCTATATGCACTGAAATTTTGAGTTTAGAGAATTTGCTTCTAATCTAATAGAAATAATTAATCCAGGATGATGTCAGACAATAATTTTACAGGCAAATTACCAGACTTCATTGGAACTTGGTCAAACCTACAAGTTTTGTAAGATTATCCTTTATAGCTCTCATGCTATATATAAGCCAAATTTATCATCAATGATTAGAATTGCATACAAACAAACTTCTAGAAAATAAATTAGAGGTGCTCACTTCTATATGATGTTTCGATAGGAGGATACAAGGGAACTCCATCAGTGGTCCAATCCCTTCAAGTTTTTTCTCTCTCTTCAAACTTAATGATTTGTAAGCTTCCTCCTTTAAACTAATACTGCAAAAAAGTTTTTATGATAAAGCGTACCAACCGTCAACTAAGTGATTATATAGTTGTTTATAGCCTCATGATTAACTGTTCACAAGTGCATTATTTTTACCTAATAATTCCATCTTTTATTGAATATTTATATAATAAGAAATATTGAATGCTCTATTCTAGACGCATAGGAGACTTAATAAATAGGTGTTCATCATTGGAATTTCTTGGGATCATGACAAATCTAAACACACTGTAAGGCTTTTTGTTTCTAATCGACAATCTGCTCTCTTCTTGTTTTTTTTTATGACTTGGTGCATAACTATGACATTGTATAAATTTAACTCCATGCAGAATCTTAAGGAATGCCAAGATTTGTGCTAGTCTTCAATCAATCTTTGACTTTGCGTCTTATACAAGTTTAGTGACATTGTATGTGCTTTAATTCCTTTTCCTCTTTTAAGTTTTTTTTTTTTTAATTTACTTCAAAATAAAAATGATTTAGCAATTGTTACTTGGATGCAACTTGATTTTTTTTTTCTTTTTTCTCTACAAAGGGATTTGAGCTTCAACAACATCACAGGCAATATTCCACTATCTCTACTTAGCCTGAGCTCCCTAAACTTGTTGTACGAAATGATTGTCTTAGTGTCCCATGTTTCACTTATACTTTTCAATATTACAACCATAATTTATATTTTTTTCTCTATTATCATCCTCAACAGATTCCTTGGGAATAATAGCATAACAGGCACCTTACCTGAAACAAAGAGTTTAACACTACGTAATATGTAAGTGTATGCAAGTCACTTAGTATGTAAGTTTCTCCTAAAGAAATTGAAAAGAATTTTCTCCCTAATATATTAGCTAGGAAAATTTTCTTATTATAGATACAAATCTTATCATGTTATGATCGTTGTTGAAATTTAAGACTTTCAACTAAATATCAATTCCTTCTAACTCCTACAGAGATCTATCATACAATCAATTGTCAGGGAGCTTGCCATATTGGGTCAATGAACCAAACTTAGCGTTGTAAGTCATAGAAAAATTTATATTTTCTTATTTAGTAATCGCAATATTTTTTAATCATAAATATCCAATCATACCATTTAACCAATTCTTCACTTTATGTGCTTGCAAAGATGCCAATTTAGGAGTTCCATTGGTATTGCCATCATAGTACAAATATGTATATGCCTATAAATAGGAAACATAAGAGAAGGATAAAAGAAGATGAAATAAATGACAATCTCTTCAATAATGATTAAATATGTTAATAATAAATCTTGCATATTCCTACATTAAATAGTTTAAACATGTGATGATTTAAATATAAAATTTTCATATAAATTTAAGGTGAGATAAAGGTTCTTAGCTTGCATTTGAAAATAATAGCGACCAAAGATGAACTAGTCAAAGGTTTTGTTGCACAAAGGTTGTAATTATTTTTAGGGTAGTACGATTACTCAATGAAAGATAGTAATCTTTATTGAAAACAAAGCATTGACAACAAGACCTGTGCCAATGAAGGCACGTGTAAGATCCTTGGAGGTATAGTGGTATAGAGTGTCGATGGAGTTCCTAATGGAAAGTGTCACCATAAAGTCATCATTGCTATTATCATTGGAGAACCAAGGATATCACATAGCTTTATAAACCTACAAAAAATTGAGGTGGCTAAGATTTTCTGTGGTGAATGATGAAGATCAAGAACTATGAGAGCGATCTATTTGTGAAGTTGAAGATAAATAACCAAGTTTACACTACAATATGTATTAGAATTTAGAGGCTTTAAGTGATATATCTAAATATATCGCTATGAAATCATATTGTAAGAAAGAAAGAATCATAGAGGTCCACACCTTTATTGAATTGTCATCTTAATACAAGCATATATGTGCTTATATCAAAATAATAATAATAATAATAATCACAAAACATAATAATGGAGAACATGCTCAGTAATGATAAATATAAGAATAATTAATATATATATTAACAAATGTAATAACTTAAATGCACTAACAATTTTTTTAACACTTCATAGTTCTTTCCTATACTAATTCTTTTGTTTCATTCCAAACAAGAAGAAAGCCGAAATTTAGAATTTATTTTACTTTGTGATAGGAACTTGGTTGCCAACAACTTTGTCGCAGACAATTCCAATAACATGTAATTACCTTCATTTACCTTATTGTGTAAGTTAAATTTCATTTTGATTTATACTAGAACTTGAAATTTATTTACGATTTCACTCTCAGTGTCTTACCTTCAGGATTAGACTGTCTTCAAAGAGACATGCCATGTTATCGAGACTTTCCAGCTTGTAAGTTGCTCTCCACATCTTCATGCATTTTCTTCTCTTCATGAGCTCAAAAAATATATTTAAAGTATTTTAAACTTGTAGATTATCAATTTGCAATAAATTGCGGTGGAGGTGCAAATGTGACGAGTTCTCTTGGAACTAACTTTGACATAGATAATGCTAATCTCAGTGCAACATCATATTTTGTTACTAATTTAACAAAATGGGCAGTAAGCAATTTTGGAAGGTTTATAGATGCCTCAATTAATCCTAATGCAAATTATATAATTAGTTCTCAGATCCAATCCCAGAACACACTTGATTCAAAATTGTTTAATACTGCAAGGATGTCACCATCCTCATTAAGATACTATGGCTTGGGACTTGAAAATGGGAATTACACAGTAAAGCTACAGTTCTCTGAGATTGGAATACCAGATCAACCAACTTGGACAAGCTTAGCTAGAAGGGTTTTTGACATTTATATACAGGTAAGCAAACTAATCATTGAGAATGTCTTGTTTGAATTCTTATAAAGGATATGGAGCAATCGATCTTGATTAATTTAAAGAAAATAGTAGATTGTGAATTGGTTTTAATTGGTTAGTGTTAAATTAGGTAAATAATATAAAAAAGGGTTAAAATTAAAGTTATATATATTTATATATGTATACTTGTCTACTTGAAACCAACATCTAACAATATAATAAGTAATTGAGTAGCTTTTATGATTTTCCTTATTTTCAAGGTGCTAATAGGATCAAATATATAATTTCAGGGCATGCTTAAGGAGAAGGACTTTGATATAAGAAAGGAAGCTGGTGGGAAATCTTTTAGAGTAGTCTTGAAGGAGTACCAAGCTCCTGTAACAAACAACTTCTTAGAAATACATTTATTTTGGGCAGGAAAGGGCACAACTTTTATTCCTAGTCCAGGATATTATGGGCCATCCATTTCTGCAATCAGTGTATCTCCTTATGGTATGCATTTTTCTATGAAATTTTAATTAAAATTTCCTCAAAACCCCCCAAATTATTTTATTGCTATAAACGTTTACAGATTTCATTCCATCTGTGAGCAACAAACCCCCACATTTCTCTTCATCAAATAACAATACAGCTCTAGTTTTAGGGATTGTATGTGGTGTTGTAGTTTTGGGACTTATCGTGTCTGCGATATTAGTGTGGAAACATAAACAAAAAAATCTTAACAAAGTTAATGAAGGTAAACTTTTTTAAGGAATCTGAAATTTTTTTATTATTTATGAATGTATAGCGTTTGTATTTCCTTTTGATTTGACTAAGTTAACATGTCAAATAATACAGAGTTGTTAGGAATGACTGCTATACCAAATACATTTAGCTATTCTGAATTGAGAACAGCAACTGAGGATTTTAACCGGTCAAATTTTCTCGGAGAGGGAGGATTTGGGCCTGTATTCAAGGTCTGTTTGCCTATACATGATAATGTCAAATTTTATCTCACCACATAATTATTCTTAAAATAGTCTAATTTTATTATAATTTTTATCTTTCAATATCATAAGAGTTTCACCAGTGAAATAAATATGACACTACTTTTCAAAGGCAAGATGTGAGCACAGTGCATTTATTTTTCACCTAAAATTATATAAGCACATTGTTAAAACTTTCAAACATCCTTATACAACTACAATTATCTTGTGAAAACTAATTATATGACTTGTAGAGTTGATAGTAAAATGGATTTATTTGTTTTATCTAAGGGAAAACTACATGATGGAAGAATGGTAGCAGTAAAGCAGTTATCATTAGCATCTCAACAAGGCGAGAGACAATTCATGGCAGAAATAGCAACTATATCAGCAGTTAAACATCGCAATCTAGCTAAGTTGTATGGTTGTTGCATTGAGGGAGACAAAAGACTCTTGGTTTACGAGTACCTAGAAAATAAGAGCTTGGATCAAGCTATTTTCAGTATGTTTTGAAATAACTAGTAGCTTGGAGCAACAATTTGAGAAATTCCTTTATTTGACTGGTTACTTTTTGCAGGGAAAAAGGATTTGCATCTTGACTGGAAAACACGCTTTGAGATTTGTTTGGGAGTAGCAAGAGGCTTAGCCTATCTTCATGAGGAATCAAGTGTGAGAATTATTCACAGGGATATAAAATCTAGCAACATTCTATTAGATGGTAATCTTACCCCAAAGATATCAGATTTTGGTTTGGCAAAGCTTTACGATGATAAGTGGACTCACATTAGCACAAGAGTTGCAGGCACAATGTATGTAATGATATTTCAGTCATTTTTTATTTTTCTGCATCATTTATAATTCAAAATTATGATATTTGTAGAGGTTATTTGGCACCTGAATATGCTATGAGAGGGCATTTAACAGAAAAGGCAGATGTCTTCGGTTTTGGAATTGTTGCTCTAGAAGTTCTGAGTGGAAGGCGTAATTCAGACCCCTCTCTGGAGGAAGAGCAAAGCTACTTACTTGATTGGGTAGGCAATGATTATAAATTAACAACTAAATTATCATTCAAATTCATATGATTTGACCAGGCGGACAAAAATTTATGCTATTTAATATAGAAAATGCGATGAAGGACAAAAAAACATTCAATGTCTCATTAATAGTGCAGTGTGCACGCATATATTTTAGCATATTTGCATGAAGTAAAAGAAACAACTATAGTCATAGTTCCATTATGAATTTACATCATGCACGCATATATTTTAACATTCTTCCCATTAATTCCTCTTTCATTCACTTGCCAAGTATTGAAATGTTAACTAAGGCTTTATTTGAGATAATTTCTTACTATTTTCTAAAATTGTTTTAGAGAATCGAATTTTTTTAAACGGTTGTAGAAAGCAGCTTTCTAGTACAAAAGTCTTTTAAAGGTTAAAAAAGCGGTCACAAAAAAAGCATAAATCTGAACATATAACATAACGCAATACCTAACATGATCTTAATACTTATGTTTCAGGCTTGGCATTTATACGAGCAGAAGCATGAATTGGACTTGGTGGATCCAAGTCTATCATCATTCAATAGAGATGAAGCCACTCGAGTAATTGGTGTTTCTCTTTTATGCATCCAAGCATCGCCAACATTACGGCCGGCGATGTCGATAGTGGTGGCCATGTTGGCCGGATTTCTCGAGGTTAATGAGGTCACCTCAAGGCCTAGTTATTTAACAGAATGCCACTTCAAAGATATAAGCAGTAATTTGGCTAGTGCTGGTTTTTGCAAATCAGCAGACCTGAGAGAGACGAATAGCCAAGTTAACGTGCCATCAAATCCAGATAATGTGAATCTGTGATTTAAATGGGGACTAGTCCTTCAGCTAATGCGCTATTAAGGGAAAACTCTGTTGGGAGGAAGAGGATCCCACTTGTTGTAAGGTAAAACCAATGTGCATCATTTATAGTGTAAAGAAATTCACGCTTTCTTAAACAATTGGTCATCCTACATCAAATCAGTTGCACGAATCATAATGATTTATAAACGGCTACATAAATTCAAAGTCGCATATAGAGCTAATTTAAAAGATAAAACAGATACAAGTCATTAAAAGACTAAGAACAGGTGGGAAGTATTTTCTCTATATTTAGGGTCTATTTTGATCAATTTTTTTGCTGCTCTTTTAGACAAAAAGCATAATATCTTTTTTTTAGGTATGTTTTTTCACTATTTTTTAAAAAATTTTATAACGAAAAAAATGGTTTTTACAATCATAATAGTTAATTTATTTTTGTATAACAACTTCAGAACTAACTTTACAAAGCCCTGCAGTCGTCCTAAATAAATTTTCAATATTAATTTTGTTTTATGCATTCCACTTGTCCTTGCAGGTGTGTTGAAAACATATTTAGGTTGCTTGTTTAGAATTTTTGAACGGTTAATATCAATGACTCCTACTCTGTTGGTTAATATCAATGACTCCTACTCTATTTTAGGTCTGTTTGGGATGGCTGTAATTTTTTGTAAAGACAGTTGCAAAGTTAGTATAGAAAAAATATGCATTTTGAAGGCTGCCATTCTCCGACCTGGAAAATTATAAAGATGGGGGCTTTGTTCCTTAAAAGAATTGTTAGATGGGAGGTATCCAACGGTTACTCAATCAACTGGATGCAGGACACTTGGATTTTAGATAGAAATCTTGCTTATTGGCCGACTTTTATCAACACTCAAAATAATCATGAATTACTTCTTAAGTCTTTTATTACCAATGGTCGTTGGGATATGGACAAACTGAAGATTGCTTTCGGAGAACATCTTCTAAAACTTATACTTAAAATCCCGATTTGGAACGATAGAAATGCTGATTCGGTCGTTTTGAATGCTAAATTCTCTGGGAAATCAATTACAGCATTGGCATATGAAGCTAGTTTGGATCATAAGGAGGAGGTGGTTCATTGGAAGTGGTTTAAAAAATTAAAGTTGAAACCGAAAATAGAACTTTTTTGGTGGAGACTTTGTTATGATGCTATTCCTTCTAACGTTTTTTTGTTCAAAAGAAAGCTGAGTAACTATTCGGGATGTCCTAGAGGATGTGGGGAAGATGAAGACAACAATCACTTAGTTGGGAGTTGCTCCAAAATCAAGAAAGTATTTGACTTATTGAATTGCTGGGGATTTAACATGCCTATTTTTAATTGCTTTGAAGACTGTTTACACAGCCTACATAATGACGTGGGAAGAAATATGATTTTCGGAAATATTTTTTGTAACACGGTTTTTCTAGTTTGGAAGAGCAGGTGTAAGTATATTCATGATAATTATGAGGATTCAGACAACTATATTGCTGCTAATGCTATTTCTATTGCCTTGAGAAGCAATTTTATTCATTTCCAACCGGAATACTGGGGTGCTAACCAGCTTTTGCTGAATTCGACTTGGCATCCTCCTCCTACCGGATGGATTAAAATAAACATAGATGCAGCTCTTAAAAGGAATCACTTGGCAGGAATGGGTGTTGTGATCCGAGATGATAAGGGGAGGTTTTTGATGGCTTTCGGCAACAACTCCTTGCATTGGGATATTTCACATTTGGAGTTAATGGCTGTTCTCGATCTGAAGAATGTGGTCAAATGTTGGATGATGTTGGCTCAAGGTGTGATCATTGAAGGAGACAACTTGAATATTATCAAAGTGCTTAAAAATTCAATCAAAGATTGGAAGGTTAGTAGAAAAATTGATGAGAGTTTGGCTTTCTTACTTGAGTTTAAGCAAATTGTTTTTTCGCATTCTTTTAGGAATGGGAACAAATTAAAGGATATTTGTGCTAATTTGGCCCTTGTGAGATCTTTTTTATGGGAAGATCTTCATGATGTTATGATTCCTCCTTCTTTCTTGTATTGCTAGAAGGAGGAATGTGATGCTTTAGGTTTGCTTTGACTTGTAGTTCTTTGATTCTTTTAATGCAATTTCAGCATTTCTTTCAAAAAAAAGAATAACCTTATGAACCCTTCACACTCTCAACTTGCAAGAACTCTCTCTTAAACACTCTCCTAAATCACTCTCACGCTTTCTTTTTAATAAAATTGAAGAAGGATTTTGTCCACAGTCGGTTTAAAGACTTTTTATATGAAAGGCATGAAAACTGTCCAAAAACTAAATTTTTTAATTTTACTTTCAAGGATCGTACAGTATGATTAACAGACATACAATACAATACAGTACAGTATGAACCATTCAAAATTTTCTTGTATAATCTAGTATAAATTGATTTCATACTCTAATTGACCTGGGTACAAACTTACATCATACAGTACAATCAGTTCAAAATTGAACATATTCATCCAGTACGATTCTGTATGAACTGATTTTATACTTTTAATAATGTATTGTACAAAATCTATATCATACAATACGATCTGTTTTAATCAAACCAAGTTAAATTTGGTATGAAAATGGCCTCAACCATTTTATACTCTGGAAGTCATCTGTATGATCCTATGATTGTACTATATGAATAGTTCAAAAAGTTTACCTATTCATCAGGACGAGAAGATATGCATTCATTTCATACTCTAGATGTCATTTGTACAAGCTTATGATTGTACAGTACAAAGATTTTAAAAAAAATTAGGGGTTCATTGGGTTGAGCTTGTACATATCTATTTCGTACTCTCAAAGGCGTACATATGAAGATAACTTCGTACAGTACAAATAGGACTTGAAAGATTTTCCTAGCATGGTTTGATTGACTTTTTTTTTAGAGGTATGCATAAGTCAAATAATCTCGTATGATCTGAAATTGTACAGTAAGATTAGTTTTAAAAAGGTTACAAATTTTTTCACTCCCCTAGTGTGTATGTGCGATTACTCAATTACAATCACACTCCCTCAGACTCAAGTATAAAAGTACAGACACCAAAAATAATAAACCCTAGTCTAATTTGACTTGAAGTATTCAATAGTCTGGAGTATGATTTTTCTGAAACGTTAGTATACACAAACAACAAAAGTAATATTTCTAATATATATTAGGAAAAATGGTAGTCAATACAATAATATTTTGAAATCATCAAAAATACACATGATATGAAAACATAGTTATAAAAAGTAAGTTGTTATAATCTCCCCTATTTTGAAGATGGCAAAATAATTATTGTTATAGTTAATATTCAAAATAATTTTTCTCCTTAGCTCCCCCTAAATAAATGAACAACTAAATAACTAGGAGTTCCCATGAAGATCAAAAACCAAAAACCTAAAAAAACACCAAATAAAAATAACTTGAACAAAAACACAAACTCGAACAAAAACCCACATGAACACGAACGAACATTCAAACAAATATTCACACATGCACTTAAAACATACATGCACACACATCAATCATCAAACAATATTCTGACTTCCCCTTTTGACAATAACCAAAATTGAAGTACATCTTAGAGTGAAAGATTTCTATAGATAAACCAAAAGGGTTGAAGGAGAAAAGATTTTAAACTAATTACAAATATAATATTAATTTTGAAATACTAAAAAGATAATTTTCAAAACTTTAAATTAAATAATAACTAAGATAAGAAAAGTTAATCAGAGTCATTATTCATTCTAAATAAATTAAATAAAAATATTAATACAAAAATAACGAAATGAAAATTAGTTATATTTTTTTTTTTTGAAGGGATGCATATAGCATTAAAAAAAAGGAAAAACAATTACAAACTAGAAAGTAAAAGCAAAACAAGCCCTTTGAATCTATCATAATGGATATGTGATATACTAATTCCAACTTTAAACCCATTGGGGTGATGGGGACACCAAATATTTAAACAACCTAAAAGGTTGGTTAGTGTCCCAGAGTTCCCAAAAG